GGCCCCGGGGGGGGCACTCTGTGTGTGTGGTGGGCCCCATGGCGGGGGGGGCACTGTGTGTGCCGTGGGCCCCGTGAGGGCCGGCACCCTGTGTGCGGTGGGCCCCATGAGGGAGCAGCACTCTGGAGAGCTTGCTGGGCTGTGGTGCGGACGGGCCGTGGGGGACCAGGAGAAGGCAGGCGCCCCTCAGCTTTCTGCCTCTCTGATATCCAGCCCTTCTACCCTGGCTGTGAGACGAGGCTGGCTCATTTCCCAGAGGGTTCCAGGGTCGATAGTAACAGTACCCCCCCACCGCCTGCAGTGGCATTGCCAGAGCTCAGGAAGCAGCTGCTGTTGTCATCAGGTGTGATTTTCAGTAGGCAGATGGGCAAACTGAGGCCCAGAGAAGGGAACAGTTCCGGTAAATTGTTGTTGATCCAGAGACTGGAGCCCACAGGAAGGCTTGAAGGACCTAGGGCTCAGTTGGACGTGGTTACTCACCAGGGCCCAAGTGACTCAGGAACCTGTCTGAGTCTGTGCGTGCATCTTTCTGGACTTCGTGCAGGATGGGGCTGGAAGCACATCTTCTTCACCCTGCTCCCTTAGTACAGGGAACACTGGCCTCCCTTACCAGAGGGTCCCTCACACCGGCAGCCCGCCATGTGTGCATCTACGTCCACCCCCATGGCCCATGTGCCTGGACTCACTTTCTGAGACCACAGGCTCCAACCACTGTCTTCGCCAAATCAGGTCCAGAAACACATGTCCTCAGCACCGTGAGAACGGTTGACAAGGGCAGGAGGCATTTTGCGAAGATTCCCAGGTGGGGACACGATATTTCAAACCAGCTCAGCTGCGCTCAGAAGCTTTTCAGAGAAGCAGAGTCTGTGGAATGGACCGCTCTGAGCCCTTGGCCGTCACTACCGGTTCTCCCATGCTGCTCTTGAGCAGGAGCAGAAGCAGAAGCACTGGGCACTCGACAGCTAGAGCTCTTCTCGCTGGGGCCTGTCTGCCTGGGTCACCAGGCCGTGCAAGCTCTCGGTCAGAACACAGTTCCTTTGGGGGACCCTGAGTGCCGATTCTTGGGCTGGGAAATATGGTCCGTCTCCATGGAGACCCTCTTGAGGTGGAGGCTGGGCATTAGAGCCCTCTGAGTGGCTAAGGAGTGGCCAGAGCTCAAAAGCGGAGCATTAGAAGGCCGACGGGAGAGTGGCCACACTCAGCCACGGAGCAGGGGCGGGCCCTGTGCCAGATTTCCTGTGACATCACTCCCCAGCAGGCTGGGCGCGCTGGCCCCACTGCCCGCTTTACCACCCCCACCCTCCCTCCCTAGGATGAAGCCGGCCGGGAGCGTGAATGACGTGGCCCTGGATGCCTTAGATTTTGACCGGATGAAGCAGGTGAGCGTGTTCTTACCCTAGAGGCTGTGAAGGTGACCGTCCCTCATCCATGTGGCCAGGCAGGCTCAAGGGGACCCACACTCAGCTGCCAAAACATCCATCAAAGAGCTGGCAGTGGAGGGGAGGGGTGCCTTCCTGCCTTTCTGGGCACACCCACCCAGCCTACCTCTGGGGCTCCCCGCTCTGGCGGCCCTCAGCCGCATCAGGGCGCCCCTGAGGTGGTGTGGCAGGACCTGCCAGGATGCCATCACCCCAGCCCCATGCCCTCTTTCCTCAGCTTGGGAGGGCAACAGAGGGGCCGCCTGGGGCCAGGGGAGGGTGAGCGCTGTGGCTCTGGAGGAGGCCCAGTGCCCCTTCCACTGGGACATGAAGCCCGTCGAGGCCTGGTTCCCTGTCATGCTGCCTGTCACCCACTCTGCGGCTCTGTTTCTCCACAGGAGATCCTGGAGGAGGTGGTCAGGGAGCTGCACAGGGTAAAGGAGGAGATCATCGAGGGTGAGTGGGCCCCCGGGTGGGTGTGCAGAGTGAAGGAGGAGGTCATGGGGGATGAGTGAGCTGCGGAGGGGAGGGGGGTGCATGGTGGGAAGGAGGAGGTCATGGAGGGTGAGTGGGCCCCGCGTGGCAGGGGGCTGGGGCCACAGGCCGGGGCCACGGGCTAGGGCCACGTGAAGGTTCTCCAGGTGGGGAGGGGTGGAATGGGACCAGGCCAGGGCCATGGAGGGTCCTCCCGAGGGGAGGCTGCCTGTCTCCCAAGGTGCAGAGCAGGGTGGAGGCC